TCAAAGTAAAATAATAAAATAAAAGGGCATTAATAACAAAAGTAATGAAAAATAAAATTAAAATAACTTCATAGCTAAAATAATTAAAGCCCGTACACTACATCAGATTTTAATCAGATTGAGACTAGTGTTTCTTTATTGCTCGTGAATTAACTCTAATATTATTAACAGTCTGTTCTTGAAACATTTCATATGACCAAAATAATGATACTATTTTTTCCGGTCAGTACTTGTGGTTTCCCAAAAAAAGTGAAAAAAATGAAATAAAAAGAAGAGAATCTCGGGTTCAGGGAGTAAGACCGAGATGTGTTAAATATATGAACGATGTCCAGTTGATATAGTAACCATTCAGTAAGCATGCAATAATGTCTAAATAACCATTACGAGTTAATTTAAATTCCAGTCTTCCAGGCTCAAGTGACAGATGGTAATTCTCATTACACACTCTCATTCCTTGTTTTCCCTTGCCATTGATGTAAACACGGCTTCATTCGCGTGTTTGACGGAGAACATGCAATCGCCACGTAATGAAAACCGACATGTCATCATTTGAGTAACATGTAGCCTGCCCAGGTGTTGCACAATAAATCATGTCAGATAGTAGGGTGGGTATAAGGGTCGTTATCGTCAGCTAAAATATGACACCACGATATTTTATCCAATTCATCCCGACTATCGAGATAACACCATTACCATAGTGACGCACCTGTACATTTCCCAGCAGGTATGCTGCCTGTCATGCAGCATTCATCACTTTGCTCTCGTGGCCACTGGTAGTATCATGTGAGATCACATTGTTGACGTGATCACGCGTTCTATCGCGTGAGATCACACTACTAGCGTGTCATCATGTGAGTTCATACAACCGGCGCTGATCCACTCCTTTCCTTCTTCATCCACTCTCCACCATCTTTTAATTTTAAGTGTGTGAGGAGATTGTTTTTGAGTATGGTTGTGGTGTGGGGGGGGGGGTGCATTGTTTCTCAAGATGCCGATGAGTGGGGAAATTGTTTTTGTGCATGGTGGTGGGTATGGCATTGTTTCCCAAGATGCCGGTGGGTGGGGAAATTGTTTCCGTGCATGGTGGTGGGTATGACATTGTTTCTCAAGGTGCCCATGGGTGGGGAAATTGTTTTTGTGCATGGTGGTGCATTGTTTTTCAGGATGCCGATGGGTGGGGAAATTGTTTTTTTTTTGTGCATGGTGGTGGGTATGGCATTGTTTCTCAAGATGCCGGTGGGTGGGGAAATTGTTTTTGTGCATGGTGGTGGGTATGGCATTGTTTCTCAAGATGCCGATGGGTTGGGAAATTGTTTCTGTGCATGGTGGTGGGTATGGCATTGTTTCTCAAGATGCCGATGGGTGGGGAAATTGTTTCTGTCCATGGTGGTGGGTATGGCATTGTTTCTCAAGATGCCGATGGGTGGGGAAATTGTTTCTGTGCATGGTGGTGGGTATGGCATTGTTTCTCAAGATGCCGTAAGTGGGGGAAATTGTTTCCGTTCATGGTGGTGGGTATGGCATTGTTTCTCAAGATGCCGATGGGTGGGGAAATTGTTTTTGTGCATGGTGGTGGGTACGACATTGTTTCTCAAGTGCCGATGGGTGGGGAAATTGTTTTTGTGCATGGTGGTGGGTATGGCATTGGTTCTCAAGATGCCAATGGGTTGGGAAATTGTTTCTGTGCATGGTGGTGGGTATGGCATTGTTTCTCAAGGTGCCGATGGCTGTGGAAATTGTTTCTGTGCATGGTGGTGGGTATGGCATTGTTTCTCAAGGGGCCGATGGGTGGGGAAATTGTTTTTGAGCATGGTGGTGCATTGTTTCTCAGGATGCCGGTGTGTGGCGGAATTTGTTTATGCGGAAGCCAGTGGGTAAGAAGACGGGTGATGGTTGGAGCAATTTTTCGCAGGATGCGGTGGGTGGTGACATTGTTTATGTTGGTGTTGGTCGATGGGAACATTGTTTTTGTGAAGCCGGTGGGTTGGGGTGACATTGTGTATTGCATATGACGGTGGAAGACATTGTTTGTATGGAATCCTAACTGTGGGTCCATAGCTCTTGTGAATGTTTTTGTCATTGTAATGGTATTTTAGTCATTTTTGATACATTTGGTGTCGTAAAAGTTTTTTGGGTATTGAAATGTTATCGATACAGAAGAGATAAATAAATAAAAGTCGATAAAAGTACACCGTTTACTCATATCACAAATCGATTGCGTGCACGAAAGCCGTGACAAAAATTAACTGTTTGAAGTTGTTTTTCCCGAGATACAGGTCGCTGAACCATACGTAATTCGAATGACAACCATTGTCTTGAGGTCGAACGAAACAATCACTTGGCTAAATGACGTGACTGTAGTAAAACTTTTGTCGGAGAGTGGAACAGCTTAAGCGCCTCTTGGTATTTGTGATGTTGTGACCCATCGACCAATCAACAACAAGCATGAGATCACGTGGTGGCAGAGATATATAACTTTGCGCTGGAGATTAACCAGACTTATGTATGTATTTGGAGAGGACGGTCGAAAACAAAACAACCAAACCTTCATTAGGCCAAAAAAATTGTTTCTCAAGTGACACCCTAAATGCACGGAAAGGCATTTATTTTTACATTTCTTTCAAAAAAACTGTGGACAGTAAACACGCGCATCTAAAGCAGACCTGAAGAAAATGTCTGCCACCGGAGACACGTGTTGTCCGGAACACTAAATCTTGGGGGAAAGAACATCAAACTAATCGTTTTTGTTTCTGGTGAGAGTTTAATAAATGTCATTTGTGACGCAAGTCTGTGGAAAGAACCATAGCTCCATATCTAAAACCAACACATTTAAGGACACCTAATGTATCAGAAACTACTAAAATATCATCACAAAGACTGAAGACGGACACAAGAAGAGCTAAAGACTCACAGCAAATGGGAGCCATTGTGAGGACATTGTGCGTGTAGATGGTACCAACCGTACATTGGATATTACATATGTCGAGATACTGACTTTTCAAGTTGATGTAGGAAGCAATTGTAAAATCACACGTTATTGCACAATCAAGGCTATGAATAATTTGTATTCCATGACGAGCCCCCTCACCGACTGATATGCCATTA